TTAAAAACCAGATCAAGCCCAAAGTATATCAGAGGGGAGATCAAGAGACAAGGCTTGAACCATTCAGGTCAGGTTTACCATTCTAATCTCCACAACTCTCTCTGTCTGGTAACCCGGTTAGTTATCCCCATCCCTCAATGATGGTTCGAGGGAAATCACCAGAGGCTTAGTCCCTGTGTAGACCCTGCAAATGTATTTTGGGGCTTCCACTGTCATCCATAGCCTTCTGCACACCAGAATCTCACAATTCAGTTCTGATATTATTCCCTCCTTTGGACTTGGATTGTTATTTATAATCCTTGGATCACAGTTGTTGGTGTGCTTCTTCCATGTGAGTTTAATTGGCATCTCAGTGAGATGGCTGCTTGTTTGAAAGCAAGCCTTCAAGAACCCAGACGCTATTCTAGCTGATTGCCGGGCACCATGTAATTTTTTCACCACACTTTGCTGTAGCACCCATATCTTCTGTGTTTTCTTCATGACGGTGAGGATCAACCACAGCCATATTGTAAGAGCTAATTGTTCTTAGATTAGAGCTGGGATTAGTGCAAGTCCAAGATCCATTCCTGAATCTGATTTTTACCTGCCTCTGGCTCACCTGAGAGACATCCTGTTAATTGATGGTAGAAAATCTTATCCATCATCTCCCTGGAGCAGAAAGACCTTCTGTTTATAGTGTCATTGATTAGCCCATGGGACTAATTTTAAAACACTACTGAGAGGGGGAGCGTGAACAAGTGTAGGCTAACTACATATAGCAATCCATGGATGCTTCACTTATTCAGAATAAATCCTTACGTCATTGGTCACAATGGAGCTGGTGCTCAGGCAACACTTACAGTAATATTCACTGACAGCGTCAGACCCAGGCCTGCCAGAATAAGACATAGCTAATACAGCAAGTAGGGCATTGAGGCAGTAAGTAATGTGTGTCTGCCTACGGACAGTTCTATGATACTCTTGCTATAGCTGTCTTCTGCTTCTTCACATACCATGTGATTTCAGTCTTAAGTCCTGAGGTTACAGGTGTGTTTGAGGAAAAGTCTAGTTCTCCTAGTGGGGTTTCCACATCGCATCCCTCTAGAACGGCCTTCGGAGCATGTTGTGTGCCTTGAAGATCCAGGATTCAATGTCCCAGTGTTCCATGACCCCTGGCCTGGGTCTCCAGGGGGATGTTTTTTGCTCTTTAAATCAAGCTCGAAGCCCTTCACACCTTACCTGGCTACATGCTTGGCCTGGCCTGGTCCCTGCCAACCTCCCATCCTGTCCTCCCAGTGGCCCTCCCTCCTGTGTACACGTTGCCTCCTGAGCCGCCCTGTCACTCGGAGGCCTGAACCACAAGCTGGGAGAGGCACTTCAACTCCACGCCTCACAGCAGCACGTTGACAGACACACCACCAGGCTTGACTGGACTCTTCATGTCGGACTGAAGGGCCGGAGGACTGCTACTGGGCACTCGGCGTTCCTATCTGTAGCCACCACCCTGCCTCCGTGTGCGTGCCTGCCTCTCTTTGGCGGGTGGGCTTGGGCTGGGTAGCCACTGGCCTCTGGCTGTCTGGCCCAAATTCCAGTGGGACACTCACCAGGCAGCAACATATCAATTACAAGTCATCAATAATACATTTGCTCAGAGTGGCCTGGGAGGCCATTAGCTGGGCCAGCCGGGCCTTGATGAGCGGCCTTGGACAAAGTGGGCTGGGTGTGCCCAGGGGAAGTGCTGGTCAGCCCAGAAGTGCAGGGTGGGGGTGGGGTGGGGTATCCAGCTCCCACCCCTGACCGGGTTCTAGAGGTGGTCCCACTGTGACCTCTGAGATCCTGCTGCCAGAGGGCAGCTGACTCCGTCCCCTGCACAGACCACTCTCTAATGAGTCGGCCTCCCTTTCCCGCGGATGCTCCCGTCTGAGTGCTGAGAGACCGAGCCGAGGCTCAGTGTGTGACCAGGGTCAGGGGTCCGCTTTGGCACAGGTCACGGCTTGCTTTGTAGCTCACGTGTGGGCTCCGCCTAAAACCACAAAACTGAGCAAAGCCGACTGCTTTCATCCCTTCCTTCCTTCCTTCCTTCCTTCCTTCCTTCCATGATCGTCATCGAGTGCCTGGGTACCAGGCAAGAGTAGGGCTTGTTCTTACACACAGTATATTCCCTTCAGGGGTGAAGGGTGACAGAAGTGTGTTGACACTTCCCAACTCCACATGACATCACGTAGCTAGTTGAGATTGGCTGTGGTGGGAGTATTTACACCACAGAAATTGGCATATATAACAAATCAGACCTTTTTTTACTTTTTTTTTTT